AAGGAGCCGCCTTCCACTCTCTCAAATTTGGCGCATGTTCTTCTTCGGGCCGTGAGGCTTGAGGAAAGCTCAAACGATAGCCCCATCAACAGCAACGGCCCGCCCTCGATCCTTGCGACGATTCGACACTTTTAATACGAATGTGTATGGCTCTGAGCCCTAAGGCGATATACCCATTCTGAGAACGATCCGCTCTCCATCCTTGTGCCTGTTGGAAACATGTGTGACACGTGTGCGCGGCGCTGAGGCGCTAGCCCCATTTTGAGCACGATCCGCCCTCCACCCTCGTGAACAGCTGGGCGCACTTTCTGCGACTGTGCACGGCGCTACGGCGATATACCACAGCCCAGACCCTCCGCCCCGCGCCCGTGCAGCTGCCTGGACGCTGAGGCTCCGGGACTGTGCCTGGCGAGGCAGGGCTTGGTGACATGCCCGGACCGCCCATCCGACACCACCCTACTCTGCCCCTGGGTGCGTGGCTCTAGGCCTCCTCGATGGGGTCCGAGTAGATGGGGTCGGAGGATCGCGCCGCATCGCCGATGCATCGCCGATGCGGCTTGATGCGGAGGCCGACTTCCTTCACGCGGACGTGAACGATGCATCACCGACGTCGCCGATGCATTGCCAGTGCATCGCCGATGCATCGCCAATACATCGCCGATGCTTCGTCGATGTATCGCCGATCGGCGCGATCCTCCGACCCCATCTACTCTGACCCCATCTAGGAGGTCTCTAGTGGCTGGAATGGGATTCCGAGGTGCCGGTTCAGTATTCTTGCCAGCACCCTCCCCGGGACTTGCCCGCCACCCGCCCCGCGACCCCTGCGCGATCCGCCCGCGACGCGTCCGCGGCCCCCCCCGCCCGGGCCCACCCCGCGACGCACCCACGACCCATTTGGCTCCCTCCAGCGACCCACCTGCCCTGAAGTCGGGCCTGTCCCTCTACAGTGGGAGTGTTCAAAAATAGTTCAATAAATAGTCAGGGGACGACTTTTCCACTATGTTTGGGCATTTTCGGGGTATTTTTTGAGTATTTCTGATTTTTCGCCCAAAATCCGCCTGTAGGGGGGCAGACCCGAGATAAACCTACCCGTCGTCCGCCCGCGACCCTCCCCGCGACTTACGCTCGCGAGCCGTGCTCGTGACCCATCCGCGGCCCGCCCATGCCAGCTTAAGATTCGCCGCCTGTTGTGTTGAAAAGAACAAAGGTCGGCCCGCAGCGTGCTTCTTTGCGCTGACTTGGAAGCCTCGCGATCCGCGATCCGCCGAATCCCCGCCTCGCGATCCACCCGCGTTGCCGTGCAAACAAATATTGCGCCTGCGACGTGCCTGCGACTTGAGCGTCGTGGCTTCAATCCCTGGTCTTGGCTTTTAGAGACGCGCCCCTTGGACATGGCAGCTGTGGCAATTCTGATGGCCGTTCGTAAGTGGGTGATGCGGGCGGCAGATCAGGCAGCCTTTTGGCCTGGCTTGTCTCCGTCTCGTGCTGCGGCGCAGCCTCGCCTTAGTGTTGTGCTACGATCATTGTTTGGTAGGATGAGCATCGTGGACAACACATAATTCAAGCAGAAATCGGCGTCTATGGTGCGCTTCTTTACATTGGCGCTCGAGCGCCACAGATTTGGCATGGCAGCCCAAGCGGCCCCTCACTCTTGTCCGCATCTGTGGGGTTTGGGTAAGGAAGATGGGTGGAGGAGAAAGTGGGGCAGGGATGAAGTGGGACAGTTGCGCCCATGGACCAGGATGAGTGGGAAGTGGGCGAGACGTTTCAGCTACCGGTCAATGTGCCCACTGCGCTGTTCGCCTACAACCCGGGCCCCATGAGCAGGGACGAGGCGGACATCAAGGCCTCGGACCCAAGAGACGATGCAGAAATTGCAGCGTGCCGAAGCCTCTCTGGGTGGAGCCTGTTCAAGCAAGGGACTGCTCCTGCGAGTTTCGTTG